CCTCCCCTTTACATTTTTATTCGGTTGACTCGGGATCATTCGGGAGGACTTGCATTTGTGGCACACCTTTTTGGATCGTTTAATGGGCGGGCTCTCTGGATGTCTGGCCCTGTTAGCAATTTTGACTTGGAATGGTTCAGGGACGCGGCGGGCGTCGGCGGCTATGGGGCTTTTTCCAGGGTTGATGGAGTACGGCCTCGTGGCCAGCTTCCTGGCGGGAGGCGGGGGTTTTCTTCGCAACTTGTGTGTTGTTGGAACTATTTTTCCGGTGTTGGGCAGGTTGAGGTTTGGGGAGAGGATTTTTCGAGAATCTTAAACGTGCGTTGTCATCATTGTGACAATTTGGGGGTGGTTCAGGTCATCAATCGGGTCCAGCTTCTTCACAGACCGGTGGTTGGCCCTGCTTCGCCATTTAGTGTTGCGTTGTCTGCGTCCTGAATGTTTTTCTCCATGCGGTGAGCGTCTCCCTGGGGTTGATAACACCGTGGCTGACGCTTTGTCGTCTCGCTTTCAGTGGGACAAATTCCGAGAGGTGGCGCGGCGGCGGAAAGCAACACGGGGTTCCTTGTCCCGACGGGCTGTGGGAGATTGCCTTGGAGTCCTTGCGGGCTGGATCCGGCGTTCGCCGGTGAGTGAGGCGACTTGGTCTGCATACTCTAGGGTCTGGTGGGAGTGGCTGGATCTGCTACAGCGGGTTGAGATTGATCCTGGCCTGGGCCGGAGGTGTTTTTGGCGGTATTGTACTTTGTGGCGCGGAATTTTGAGGGGGGGGTGTCGGCTGCTGCGGTGGATCGTCCGACTGGCGGTTAGGGTTTGGGGCATTCTTCTTTAAGTTGCAAGAGTGTCAGGATTTCACTGAAGAATTTTTGGGTTCGGCAGGGCTTCTCCGGGGTTACCGGAGGCTCATCGATGTAAGGATTCTCGTCGTCCGGTGTCTTTTGAGTTGTTGGGGTCTTTGTTTGTGCATTGGTGGTCTGTGTGTTCTTCGGACTTTGAGGTGTGCTTATTTCGGGCGGCTTTTGCGGTAGCCTTATTTTTTGGGGCGTTGCGTATTGGGGAGCTCGTTAGCCCGTCCAAATCGGTTCTTGGTTGGGGTTATTGGTGGATGAAGTCAGGTGCTTCGGTGAATGGGTGGAGGTGCTGGTACGTCGGTCTAAGAACGGACCAATTGGGACGTGGTGGTCGGGTGCGTTTTTTCGTTCTTTCCGGCTTCGCTGGTGTGCCCAGTGGGCGGTTCGGGAATTTTTGTCCCGTCGTCCAGTGGGGCAGGGTGTTTTTTTTGTTTCTGGCACGCTGAGCGGGAGCTGGTGTTGAGATGTCAAGCTGGACTTTCCTTCAGTTGCGGCGGGCTTATCCGGGATGGTGGTGGTGTGTGGTCCGACATTGTCTGCCCGTGCCTCTTGGCGTTGGCGCGGTCGGTAGAGAGGCTCAACAAGGCTCGGATTAAGGCTAACAGAGAGGTGGGGGGCGTTTCTTTAGTCACCATGGGGGGTTGGTGGTCTGGCGCTTGGAGTTGGAGGTGGATACTTGGCGGTATCTCAGGTGCGATGGGGTACATTTGAATGCGGTTGGGACGGATTTATGGTCCCTGGATCTGCAGGATGGCATGCAGCGGGCTGTTCGTTTGTGGCGTGGCACGCATGGGTAAGGGCTTTACCCAGCGTGCTGTGGCGGTTGTTGGTCTTTGGAGGCGGTTCTTATTTGGAAGGTAAACAACAATGGTGTGGGACCCATCCGTGGTATGCGGGGGATGCCCGGGGACATTCCCAGTTAACCAAGGTTTAACTGGGAAGGTGGTGGGTGCTGCACTGCGGGACGGTATGGGTTGTCTCCGAGCTGGTTGGTTGCGGCTGGAGGCCTAGTGTATATGGTTGTCCGCAGGTGCATTTCGGATCGTTTTGGGTGCCTTCGAAGACCAACAACAATTATGTGGGTTTCTGTTATACAGGAATGGTTGGTGTATTGTAACTTGAGTTGTTAATAAAAGGCCATGTTGGCCATTTACTCCAAAATTGGTGTTATGTCTTTTGTTAGTATAATTGGTTAAGGGGAAGGGGGTTGGTGCGGAACGGTAATGGTGGTAATGGGGAAGTGGACCGAGCCTATCTCTGGGTGCAATAGTCAAGAAATGCCCGTAGCGAAAGAAAGAAGAATTAGCGCAGGGCATTACATGACTAGGCCCAGAGTGGGGGAAGGAAGAGCAGAAAGGGTTAAGGTAGCTCCAGGAGGATTTTGTTATTGTTAGTGTGGGGGTAGCTGATTGTAGAGGTTGGTGTAGGTGGGGTTTTTGCTGCACCTTAGGATGGGAGGTTCTGTGAGGGGGAGTCAGTTAGCTGGACGGCAAGAGTGTGAGCTTCCCTCCCGCCCTCCCTGTTTTGGGTGAGTTTTGGGTCCCTCCAGGTAGAGGGGGGGATTATTGTTGGTTTCATGGGCGGTTGTTTGTCTTTGGAGGCGGTTCTTATTTGGAAGGTAAACAACAATGGTGTGGGACCATCCGTGGTATGGGATGCCCGGGGACATTCCCAGTTAACCAAGGTTTTAACTGGAAGGTGGTGGTGCTGCACTGCGGACGGTATGGTTGTCTCTGAGCTGGTTGGTTGCGGCTGGAGGCCTAGTGTATATGGTTGTCCGCAGGTGCATTTGGATCGTTTTGGGGTGCCTTCGAAGGGACCAACAACAATTCTGTGGGTTTCTGTTATAAGGAATGGTTGGTGACGGTTGTTGGTCTTTGGAGGCGGGGGTTCTTATTTGGAAGGTAAACAAAAACAATGGTGTGGGGACCCATCCGTGGTATGGGATGCCCGGGGGGGACATTCCCAGTTAACCAAGGTTTAACTGGAAGGTGGTGTGCTGCACTGCGGACGGTATGGTTGTCTCCGAGCTGGTTGGTTGGTTGCGGCTGGAGGCCTAGTGTATATGGTTTGTCCGCAGGTAGCATTTCGGATCGTTTTGGGGTGCCTCTTCGAAGACCGGTTGGTGTATTGTAACTTGAGTTGTTAATAAAAAGGCCATGTTGGCCATTTACTCCAAAATTGGTGTTATGTCTTTTGTTAGTATAATTGGTTAAGGGGAAGGGGGTTGGTGCGGAACGGTAATGGTGGTAATGGGGAAGTGGACGAGCCTATCTCTGGTGCAATAGTCATGATTCGTGGGGGAAATTCCTCATCAGACACTGAAAGTGACGACAGCGACGATTCTGCGTCTGAGCTCAGTGATGTGCGAACTTGGCGCTCTATTTCAAATTTCAATATTTTTGGTTTGATTACATTATTGAATTAATTGTATTAGTATATTATTATTTTTTATAATTATTTATTATATTATAATTTATGATTTCGTGTTTGAAACTTTATCATCCCCGGGATGTTTTCTAGACTCTTGTTCAGACAGATTTCATTGAGTTATTCCTAAGGCTCCATGTACACTGCAGCTGATAAAGTGATTGTTTAGGAGCTTTTCTGCGTTTTTCTCAGCAGCCCCTGAACTCTCCCTAATGTTCTCCTATGTGTCCATGTACACATCAGCGTTTACAGTCGTTTTACAGGCAGTTGAGTTTACAGTCGTTTTTTTGAACGCAACAAACTTGCGTTCAGGAGTAGATTTTATCAACTTTTCAAACGCCAAACGCTTTTAAAACGCGGCTAACTGCATTTCTAAGAGTTTGCGTTTGGAAATTTTTTTAACTCTTCCATTTCCAGATGCTGTCCAGAGCCTTTTTTCATCATGAGAAATGCATGCAAAGTGTTTTCCCGATATTCAAATGGACCCGGTACACCATACTTTGAGGTTTCACATGAAAGAAAATATGTTAGATTGTAAGCTCCCAGGATCAGGCCCTCCTATCCCTCTTATATTGAACTGTATTGTTGCTGTATTGTCTCCCTTTATATTGTAAAGTGCTGAGCAAACTGTTGCCGCTATATAAATCCTGTATAATAATAATACTAATGTTAGACACTGCTGCAATAATTTCTGCACAGAAATGAGCTGGAACACACCCAAAAACACATCCACAAAAAAAAAAAAAAAGACAGTTAACCTCAACAGTTAACCTCTGCTTCTGCTCTCTCTATTTCTCTCAAAATGTCTGAAATTGTTAATTTTTTACTGTTTTTCAGTGCATTCTGGGCATTTTGAAAGGTCTCCTGAGGTTATCGCTTTAAAAAACGCTTCCAAACGCAAACACTCATAAACGCGGTATGCAAACGCGGCTAAACAGACTTTAATATAAAAAAATTTAATAAAAATTTAAAAAAATGTTTTTGAAAAATTATAGTTTTTGGTTATAAACTAATTTGGGTTATTTTTTTTTTTTTTTACTAAAAAGAAAAGTGAATAAATGTTGGCCAAGATTTATGAAGAAAGATTATGTATTTGCAAAATTTTATAAGAAAAACACTTTTTTTTCAAAATTTTTGGACTTTCATTTATATAGCAAAAAAAAATTAAAAATCCCAGCGGTGAATAAATACCACCAAAATAAAGTTTTATCTGTCTCAAAAAAATGCTAAACAATTCATATGGGTACAGTGTTGCATGACCGCGCAATTGTCATTCAAAGTGTGATAGCACTGAAAGCTGAAAATTGGCCTGGACAGGAAGGGGGTGAAAGTGTCCGGACTGGAAGTGGTTAAAAAACACTTCTAAATGCAAACGCTCATAAACGAAGTATGCAAACGCGGCTAAACAGACGTTTTTTAACCTACGTTTTCCAGTAGTCAGTTTCCATCGTTCAGAAGAGTTTTCCACGGGACATGTACATGGAGCCTAAGGATTACAGGCCTACAATATAAAACAACAAATTTCCATGCAAAACAAGGGGGTGCTCTTTATGTCTGGAGGAAAAGAAATTTAATCTCCAAACACGGAAAGGTTTCTTCACTGTGAGAGCTGTGAGAATGTAGAATAGACTCCCTCAAGAGTTGGTTCTGGCCAGCTCAGTGGATTGCTTTAAAAAAAGTCCTGGATTCTTTCTTGGATACACAGAATATAACTGGATCCAGGGGCGGACTGACTATTTGGAAACTCGGGCACTGCCCGAGGGTCCGGGGTCAGTAGGGGGCCCCATGAGATGCCCCTGGTACCTTTTTTCATAGGCTTTTTTGAGTTTGGGCAAGGACACAGGGGCTCCATGATCCCCTATTGCCCGGGGGCCCCATGAGTTGTCAGTCCGCCCCTGACTGGATACTAACATTTATAGGTCAAGTTGATCCAGGGAATATCCGATTGCCTCTCGGGGGGATCAGGGAGGAATTTTTTTCCCAGTAGGAGCAAATTGGATCATCTTTGCTGGGTTTTTTCGTCTTCCTCTGGATCAAACTGTGGGTATAGGATTATAACTTTTTTTTTTTTTAATGGTTAAACTGGATGGACTTTTGTCTTTTTTCAGCCAGACTAACTAAATAACTAAAAGAATGTACTGCTTTGACATTCAAAAATATTGATTAGTTAGACCGCCAGGGAGGTTAAACGAGGCAGGGATCTGAGCGGTGAAGAGCTGTGTATCTGAAAGCATTCTTACTCCCCAGCATTTCTTCATACCTGCCTAATACTTTTGCACAATGATGTATATACCCGGAAAATGACTGAGGATATTGTGATTCTAAAACGATTTACTCAGAAAACTCAAAGAAAGGTTAAAAGAAAACATTATAAACCAGAACACGTAAGTCATACACACGTTCATGCTGTTCTCAGAAAGTTTTGCGTAAGTCTTGGCTATGATAATAAGCCGTGTCATTTAGAGGATGAATCATAAAATTTCGCCGACGTGAATGTCAATGTACATCTCCGCAGATAAAGACAGTCATTAATGCTGATGGGTCCCACTAAAGGCTCTCGTCGTTGTTCGCTTCTGATGCGAGTAAGTAATGGCTCGTTTCCTGAATAGCTCGGGCTTTCATGATAAATAAATGCTCTCCGTCTTGTTTAGTCACAACCCAAAGATGCTAATGACACTCCAATAATTTTGTTAGTGTACAATGGTCAGATAATTTAGCATTTACAAGAGAGGTCTAATGGAGATAAGTGCTTCGCGGCTATTAATGGGATGGATGTTAACATACTGTCTTCCCACAAACTGCAAACAAGTAAAAAAAAAATTTATCTGAAAATGGGAAAAATAAATGGGGCTTAAAAATAACACTCAAAGTGTACTGTATGTAAAGCCAAAAAAGCTTTTTTTTTTTTTTTTTTTAATTTTTTTTTTTTTTCTTAGTAGGAGTTTCTAGTTTTGGACAGAGCGGGGAATGGTTAGGACCAGGGGCGGACTGACAACTCATGGGGCCCCCGGGCAATAGGGGATCATGGGGCCCCCTGTGTCCTTGCCCAAACTCAAAAAAGCCTATGAAAAAGGTACCAGGGGCATCTCATTGGGCCCCCTACTGACCCCGGGCCTTCGGGAAGTGCCCGAGTTTCCAAATGGTCAGTCTGCCCCTGGTTAGGACCACTGTCAGGCTTTCTTTTTTTTTTTTTTTTCTCTTTCTGCGTCCCATTTGGGAGATTTCCCTTTCTGTCCAAGAGAAGAAAAACAAGTAGCAAGAGGATATCTTTTGAAATCAGCCTTTGTCAACCTATTGAACATGGAGGAACCCTTGAGCTGACTTCCCGGTTTCAGGGTACCCCTGTTCTTCTGTCCTCGCTACACGATTCCCTGTGTGTAACTGGACATCCAGGGCCGGATTTACATTTCAGGAGCAGGGGCGGACTGACCATTTGGAAACTCGGGCACTGCCCGAGGGCCCGGGGTCGGTAGGTGGCCCCATGAGATTCCCCTGGTACCTTTCATAGGCTTTTTTGGGTGTTCTTTGAGTGTGGGCATGGACACAGGGGCCCCATGATCCCCGATTGCCCAGGGGGCCCCATGCGTTGTCAGTCCACCCCTGCTCAGGAGCCTATAGGCAGAGAATTCTGAAGCACCCCCCGCCCCCCCCCCCAAAAAAAAAATAAGACTGACTTTTTTTTCAGCCCTGTGAGTAACTCGACATCCAGGGCCAGATTTTTAATCTCAGGGGTCTATAGGCAGAGAATTCTGAAGCACCCCCCCCCCCCCCCCCCCCCCCCCCCCCCCCCCCCCAAAAAAAAAAATAAGACTGACTTTTTTTTCAGTCCCTGTGAGTAACTCGACATCCAGGGCCAGATTTTTAATCTCAGGGGTCTATAGGCAGAGAATTCTGAAGCACCCCCCCCCAAAAAAAGAGACTGACTTTTTCTCTTGAAAAAACATTTTTTTATATGTTTAAAGGGGAATTCTGCAGACTTTGATGTAAAAGGGAACACTGAGGACTGTGATGTAAAGGGGAACTCTGATGTAAGGGGTCTCTGGTCTCCAGACACCTCCCATCCCCTTACACAAGAGTTCCCAGAATTCCCCTTATGTCAGAGTCCTCAGAGTTCCCCTTTACATCAGAATGTGCAATGTTCATCCTTACAGTGCAAGGGGGACCTCTGCGGACCCTGATGTAAAGGGGAACTCTGATGTAACCCCTCATTATTATTATTATTATATTAGCATTTAGTAGCATTTTGCCACATTTAGCTGCATTTTTCTGTGTTTTTTAGCAAAAATGTTTTTTTTGGTCAAAAAAATGGACAAAAACAGCGGTTTGCGGCGTTTTACCGCATTTGCAGCGTTTTTCAGCATTCAAGAATAACATGCTGGGGGATTTACTGGCTGTAGAAAAAAAAGTAAAAACGCCAAAAACAGCCGCTGTAAAAAAAAAAAAAAATGTCCCGTGTGCATGAGGGACACTGGACCGTGATGTAATGGGAAACTTTGATGTAAGGTGGTCTCTGGTCACCAAAGCCCCCCCCACACACACACACTTACATCACAGTCAGCAGAGTTCCCCTTTACATAAGGGCCCGCAGTGTTCCCTCTTACATCAGAGTTTCTCTTTACATTAGGGTCCGCAGAGGTCCCCTTGCACTGTGGGGCGCTAGTATGAAAGGTGCCTAATTCATCATGGGCAACAACCAGGGCATTGCATTGGGGCAAGGGGCACTTTGTTGGGGCACTTTGTTGTGTATCTCTTTTACTGATTGATTTGAATGGAGGATGGATGGAGGATCCCTTACTCCTGTACCTGTGTGTTCACTTCACGCTGACAACTGCCTCTGCCCGCTTCGAACCTGCCGCTGATTCCCTATCAGCCCGAGCCTGCCCCTTCCCCAGCACTTCACTGAAAGAGGCAGGCAGTGAAGGAATGGCTCACTCTGCTAGTAGTGAATGTGAGCAGGAACTAGAATTTTATCAGCGAGCCGATTTAGAAAAAAAAAGTCCTTCCATGCTACAGGTCCTGGGCCCTTGTGAGTGAACTAAACTGCCTGCAGCTGCTTGCGCCCATGGAGACAGAGGGGGGGCGCCTGTCTGTATGACCAGGGCTGCCGATAAGGGGGTGTTCTCTTTTGTTCTCCCTCTCTCTCGTTCTCTCTCTCCATACAAACTCTAGGAAGGGTGCCTTGTAACGGAACCGGACCCTGACTGTACTAGGGTATTTCCGTTAGACTCCCGCTTCCCTGTCCGAACACAGATCCACGGACACCACCGCTGACCATACAAGAGGAGACAGCACCAGACTTGAAGGGACCAGAAAATAGACTGCTTTATTTTAACACAGATACAAGATATATACACAGGGCGGGGCAATACATTTAGTAACAAGAGACACACAGCAGACACCCCCCCACCAAGCCAATACACAAACACATACATCCCATAATAGTTTGCTCCCAAGCAAGACACACAATAGAACAATGGGACAACCACATGACATTAAACAATGAACAACCCCCACCTATACATGCCTACACAATAGCAGGACATTCCACCCTGTACCCCTAACAGGCACAGGGTGACTTACACATAAGAGGGATATGGGGAGCTGAGACATGGGTCTCCCCACCCCTCCAAAGGGGGCTGTGTTCCATGAGCCCCCACCCAAAGTGACTCCCGTCACACGCCTGTAGGTACATGCCTACATTGCCTTTTGGGAAATCCAGCCATGCATACAGCTCAACCCTTCTATTCTGCAATAAACCAGTCTGAATGTAATCTTAAAGGGGTAAAACTATGGGGACAAACAGATACCTACAATCAATGTATGAAACATATAAAAAAAGCAATGAAAAAGCTAGGCTGCAGATGGCAATAAGTTTATGCTCACCAGCAATGCTGCCTGTAGGAGATGTACGTTCAGTCCGTAGCATGTGCTGCAGGTGTAATGGCTGGTTTCCCTCAGTTCCTAAGATGGAGTCTGAGCTCACCGGATAAACGTTTCCATTTTTCATAATGAGGGATGAGGGGAGTTATTATTAAAGTTAGACAGCCCTTTATTTCAGCAAACAGGAATTTTTTTCCAGGCTCCATCTAATGGCCAAGTTCAATATTGCAGGGAAGACAACTTAATGAATTTCCCTGCTGAAGGCAGAACACCTGTCAATTTTTTTGAAAACTAAACGAACGAACGCAAAAAAGTGCATAGGGTATGTCCCTGGTCCCCTCTCTAAAAAGAGGTCTCTCCCTGACCCCCCAGAGTGCAAAACTCCTTACGGGGGAAGGCACTCTGGTTCACCTAGCCAAAAGGCCTGGAGAAGCCTTCTCCTAGCAGCCAGCTGAAGCCGACCACTGAGTACTAGGTTAGGAGATCTTCTGAAGACAGATCCCCAGCCAGGGGAGGAAAGAACCTAAGAGCTACACATATACACATTGCCCATATCAGGAGACACTGGGCCCCTCAGAATTCTTCACTCCAGGGAAATACTTCTGACCCCCACCTTACCTAGTGGGTGCCTACTTCAGTTTCTTTCTCATTAGGAAGCTCCCCCAGGACCCCCAACAGTAGGAATTATACTCAGCTAGCCATTCATGCCAAAAGGCCAGAATGACAGCAGAGTAGCCGTGCTGGACATTGATAAAGATAGTTACTACATTTGATCTTAGGCAACAATAACTATAATTACAATTCATGGTACCTTAAACCCTCCATGCCTAAGGGTAAAACTAATCTACAGTAAATGCCTAAGCACAATTTTGCAACGTTGAAATGTGTTAGTAAAATTGTACATAGTATCACACAACTACTTTGTACATCCAGGTGGATTATATAGCGTTTTTTTCAGGACAAATTGGGCTTTCATTTGGTGGTAAATGGTAATGGATATCTCCTGATTTTTTTTATTATCAAAGGAAAACTGGCCCAAAATAGTAAAAAAAAATCCTTTTTTTTTTTTAGCTGAGTGTTTCTTACTACCATAACGTACCACCAAAGAACAACCAAAAATAAATTCTCCAGCTCTTGAAGATCACAGCGATACCATATATGTGTATGTTATTTTGTTGTTTGTACCCGTAGTACAGCCCAGAAACAATAGTGAACATTTTTTTTTTTTACCTAAAACACACTGACACTGATACCAATTTTTTTTCAAATCCTGGCCTTTGACAATGACCTTTTGACCTTGACCTTTGACCCTGACCTTGATCCAAACACTTACCCTGGCACTGAACTACATCAAACTTTGATCTAGGTATTTTTTTTATGTATTTATTTATTTATCTTTTTTTTTTTAATTTTTTTTACATACATTTTTTTCCCCTCTATGCCAGGAGTTAGAGAGATACAATGTATCTCTCTGCTCTATTCATAGAGAGAAAAAAAAAACAAGGGGGCCGGGCTATACAGTGACTGATCACTGTGATAGCCAATCAGAGGCTAGCCAATCACAACGATCATGTGACCAGGCATCAGGAGTTCCAGGTCCCGATCGTTAGAACGGAACCCGGTGCTCTCAGTGACACTGCGGTCTTTGTGCTGGGAGAGCGCCGTGCGGCACGTTCCCAGCATAAAGACAGGTACGCAAATATGCGGCCCCACGGAAAAAAGCCCAGCAGCATTTTCACTTATTATCCATCTCAGTTTTTGTTTCATCCCAGCCAGATCCACTACATAGCCCTTCCAGGCAGTAGCAATCGTGATTTTGACCAATAAAAACATAAGGTATAATAATGTTTTGCGTATATGTCTGCGAATCCTTTCAGTTGGTTTGTTAAGAAGGGCAACCCTAGGATTGTTTACTATTTTCACCATAATAACTGAACAAATCAGGGTGCGAACTCTCATCCAAAAGCATTTGACGTTAGAGCACATCCACCGCGTCTGGTACCACTTGAACGAATCCCTGGAAACAAGCATAGGAGGAACCAGGGAACATTTTTGAGAGGCGATCGGGTACCAGAAACCAGAGAGATAGTACTTTGTAACTGGCCTCAATAAGTACAACATTCATAACACAGGCGTACCTCGGTTTACGAATTTAATTCGTTCTGTGGGACTTTTCATATTGCGAACAATTCATAAACTGAAGCGTGATTTCCCATAGGAATGCATTGAAAACCAATTAATCCGTTACAGAAGTCACAAAAAAGTAAAAAAAAGTATTTTATCTGTTCAAAACTCTTTATAAAGTGCACTTTTAAAAGCATAAATACTGTACAGGGAAATTATTAAAAATTAATTTGTAAATGCATTGAGAACCAATTAATCTGTTCCGGAGGTCAGAAAAAAGTTTTCTCTGTTCAAAACTCTTTATGGAGTGCACTTTAAAGGCATAAAGGGACATGATTTAAAAAAAAAATTGTAAATGCATTGAAAACCAATGAATCCATTCCGGAGATCAGAGAAAAATCAAAAAAAGTCTTATCTGTTCAAAACTCTTTATATAGTGCACTGTAGCCTCCCTGGTGGTATTCCTGAGTGTAGCTCGGGGTAAAGTTTCAGTACCACAAGCGATAACCCTGAGCTACACTTGGGAATACTCTGCAGCGTTGCTCCGTGATCTGTTCTTCACTTACTTTGTCCTGTGCT